AGGAGGGGGAAGAGGGAGGAGGAGGGGATGAATGGGGAGGAGGGGAGGGAGTGAGGAAGAGGCAGAGGGGCGAGGGAGGTGGAGGGAGGAGGAGGAGGAGCGAGCGTGGTGGCAGCGAAGCGACTGATGCGCGCGGTTGGAGCGGGGCTGGCGGCGTGGCAGCGGGAGGAGGTGGCCCTGCCCCGCCCCGCCCAGCCCTGCCCCGTGCCCTGCACCGCCCCGCCCCTCCCCGCCGCACCTTGGCGGCCTCCACCTCAAAGGAGTGCAGCTCCCTGTCGGGGTCCTCCACTGCATCCAGCAGGTATGAGGGGCGGTGCGGCGCCTGCTCCCCCGCGGCAGCCGCCTGGGCGCCCTGCCCCCCCGCCGCCTGCCGCTGCGCCTCCTCATCCTCCGCGTCTGCACGAAGGAGCAGGGGGCAGGGGCGTGCGGTGGGGGCAGGGGAGGCAGAGGGGAGCAGGCAGGCAGCACAGGCCCAGCCCGTCCGTGCGTGCTGGCAGGCGCGCGGCGCCGCCGCCGCCGAGCCTGCACCACCCTGCCGGCACGCATCGGTGCCGCGCCCCACGCCGCGCGCTGCCCTGCCGCCACCAAGCCTGTACCACCCTTGCCGGCACGCTTCGGTGCCGCGCCCCACGCCGCGCGCTGCCCTGCCGCCACCAAGCCTGCACCACCCTTGCCGGCCCGCATCGGTGCCGCGCCCCACGCCGCGAGCTGCCCTGCCGCCACCGCCACCACCCCACCAGCTCGGCTCACCCCCTGCCGCCACTCCGCTGCCACATGCGCACCCTCCACCACATGCACACCCCGCAGCACCACACGCGCCACGCCGCCGCCGCCTCACCCTCCGCCGCCGCCAGGTCGATCTCTTCCATCTGCGCCAGGTCAGCGACGGCGCGGTCCCGCCGCGCCGCGCCCACCCGGAACTCCGCCTCGCCTGCCCCGGCCGCTCCCGCCGCCACCGCTGCCCCTCCCGCGGCCGCCTTGCTGGGCAGCTTGGCGGCGTCTCGGATGACAGGGTCGGCCAGCAGCGCGCGCAGCACCTCTGGGTGAGGGCTCTCCACAAAGAAGCGGTTGTGCTGCAACACGAGCTTGACCTGCGGCATGGGGGGGTCGGGCACAGCAGGCACAGCAGGCACGGCAGGCAGTGGGCGACTGTGCGCCATGCTCGCACCACGACCACCGTACCGCACGCCACACCCACACACGTGCATGCCCACATGCACACATGTACACGCCCACACCCCACCCCACACCCACGCCGCACCTTGCCGTAGTTTTGTGTGCAGCCCTGGATGAACTCCCGGATCTCGCGCGGCAGCACGTTCTTGGACAGGCGCCCCAGCACCCCCACAATCGTGCCCATCTCCAGGCCGATGGAGACGGCGGCGTAGAGGGAGTGGGGGGTCAGCTGGTACTCGTGGATGAACCTGGGGGGGGTGGAAAGTGCGGCGGGTGGAAAGCGCGCGGGGTGGGGTGGGGACAGCATGCAGCGTAGGCAGGGGGAGGAGCGCGGGGAGCCAGGGAGCCTCCCTCCGACCCGGCCCTGGCAGCGGCCGGCCCCGCGCAGCGCGGCGCGGCGTGAGGCGGCAGCGCGGGCCCGCCGCCGCTCTCGCTCTCGCTCACTCGGGCCTGGACACGGGCTCTGCGATGGCGATGAGGAAGTCGTAGGCCTGCTTGTAGACGGGAGAAAAGGTCTCCAGGAAGACCCGGCAGTCGGGGCACACCCACAGCGGCCTGCGCCCAAGGGACAGGGGTGCGTACATGTGACGTGCTGCTCACGATGCATCAAACATGACGTGCGGCGCCAGGTGGCAGTGGGCAGGCCGGCGGCGGCGTGTGGCGGCACGCAGCACCGACGCCACCCCCCGCGATCCCCGCCCCCTCCCAGGCCAGCCCCCGCTCGCCTGTTGAAGTGGTCTGGCTTGAGCCTGAGGGATGTGAAGTCGCGGTACTCCTCGTCTGCCGCCCCCAGGCGGTACGTACCGCCCCCCTCCTCCCCCTCATAGTCCTCGTCAGACACAAACTCTTCCTCCAGGTCAGCATCCTCCGCCAGCTCAGCGGGGCGCGGCCGGCGGCGGGAGGCCTGCAGGGCGGCGCGGAGCAGGGTGGGGTGGTAACCCAGGTGGCGCGGGGGTGGTGAGGTGGCGGGGGAGGGCGGGGCAGGCTGAGCATCGCGGTCCTGCCCGGCGGTTCCGCCACGGCCCTCCCCAGCAGCAGCCGGCGACGCTTGCAGCGCCAGTGCGGCCTCCGCTCACCGCGGGCGCAGCGGCCGCCTTCTTCCTCTGCCCGCCCCGCCCGCGGCCGCCTGCCGCCCTGGCCTTTCGCGCCCCGCGAGCCGGCGCATCCAGCACCACCCTCTGCCCGGCCTTGCTGCCCGGCGCGCCGCGGCCGCGTGTCGGCTTGCGCGCGGGCCTGCTGCCACCGGCCTTGCTGCCGGGTGCGCCTCCTGCCGCCGCCTCCTCCTTCTCCTCTGAATCATACACCTCAAAATCGTCGTCCTCCTCATCATCTTCCCCAGCCACATACGCCTCATCCTCCTCCCCCTCCTCCGCCTCCTCATCGCTGATGATCACCACATCGGGGTCGCCCTCGGCGCCGGGGTGGTAGTCCTCATCGTCCTCCTCCTGTGGGTGGGGTGAAGGCTGGGGTGGGGTGGAGTGCGGGGGGGCTGGCGCATGGGGCAACAGCAGCAAGGGTAGGGGTAGAGGTATGTGCAGGCAGCCGGGGGGCAGGCAAAGAGTGAGGAGCTGCAAGGTGCGAGGCGGCATGCCGATGGGGCGACCGGGGGTGGCTGCAGGCAGGAAACGGAGGAGGCCAAGCCCCGCACGCACCTGGCGCCGCCTGCGCCTAGACCCCTCACCGCCGCCGCTGCCCGCTGCCTGCCCAGCGCCGCTGCCAGCGACAACTTTCAGCCGGATCTTCATGCCGCCGCCTGCAGGAGCAGCACGGCAGGCGGGCGGGTGGCGCGGGTGGCGGCAGCGGTGCAAGCAGCATGGCCGGTGCGGTGCGCTGTGGAGGTTTTGGGCGCTGCGAATGATCTCCTGTACCGCTGCTGGCTGGCTTGTGGAGCTGCCCAGGCGCCCCAAGGCTCACCTGCGCCCTGCCCAGACATGTGCACCACCCGGCCGCCGCCGCTGCGCCTGCACAGGTCTCGCGACAGTCAATTATTGCATCACTGGATCTGGGGTAGCCTGCCGCAGCCTATGGAGCACGAAGGGTGTGATCGGGGTGCTGGACTTGGCCAGGGGGCTCTCCAGCCGATCTGGAACGATAGAGACCGATCCTACCAGTTAAAAACAGCGCCGAGAGCCGCAATTTGCACCCAAAGGCCCATCAGGGCAAAAGAAAGCCAAATTCATGTGCCACGCTGTAGCTTACCCTGGAGGGCCCTGGCGCTGTTACGCTGCCCATCCCATCGCCCAGCACCGCTGCAGTGGGGTAGCGCACGAGTCTCGGGAGCCAGCACACCCGGCTCCAAGTCGGTCCCCACCCTCGCCTCAGCCGCTGCACACACCATGGCCGCGGCGTCCTCCCCCTCCCGCAGGTGTGGGTCGCTGCTGGGGTGCCGCCGCAGCCTGCCTGCTCTGCACAGCCCGCCCGGCCTGACCCGTCTCCCGGACGCCCCACCGCTGCCCCTGCAGGCGGGAGCAGGACGTCATGAAACTGAGTGAGTGCTTGCGGGGCGTGGGAGACGCCTAGGGGCCGCACGCCGTAGCGGGGGCCACATGGGCGGCAGCGGCAGCGGGCGCTGGCAAAGCGGTGCCGACACCCACCCTTGTCCCCATTCTGGCCCTGCCATTGCAGTGATGAGCGACTGGCAGGTCGAGCTGGTGGAGGACAACATCTCCGAGTTCCATGTCGTGTTTAAGGGCCCGCCAGAGAGTGAGACCCCGCCGCCGCCACCTCGTCCGCCGCCGGTCCCGCCGCTGCCCGCACGGTCGCACCATTTGCCTGCGTCCAGCTGCTGTCTCCCGCTGCTGACGCTGGCGCGTCAACAGTGGCAGCGGTCGGCGGCCCGCAGCCGCCCAAACCCACGCCGCCGCCGCCGCGTCGCTGCCTCCTTGTCCCGGCAGGCCCGTATGAGGGTGGCGTGTGGCGGGTACATGTGGAGCTGCCAGAGGCCTACCCTTACAAGTCCCCGAGCATTGGCTTCGTCAACAAGATCTACCACCCAAACATCGACGAGGTGGGCTGGGTGGGGTGGGGCGGCCAGCGGCGGCGAGATGCTTGATTCTTGATGCAAGCCACAGAGTGGTGTACCTGTTGGCGCGGCTTCTCCTAATGTGTGTGTTGCCGCCTTTCCTGTCGCCCCGGTGTTGCACACTCAATCCTGGTGCTGCTGGCTGGCGTGTGGTGGGTTGCAGGGCGCGGGCAGCGTGTGCCTGGACGTCATCAACCAGACCTGGAGCCCCATGTTTGACCTGGTCAATGTGTTTGAGACTTTCCTCCCGCAGGCGAGTCCCATTGCGCCTGCCCGCCTGCCTGGCTTGCCTGCTCGCCGGTTGACTGGCCTGCTTCCTGGGTTTTGCTTGCGGGCCAGGCCGTCAGGGCTGGCTGGCTGCTTGGGGCATCCGCCCCGCCGCCACCAAACTGTCCCCAACCTGCCGCCGTGCGCCTCTGCAGTTGCTGCTGTACCCCAACCCCTCTGACCCACTCAACGGCGAGGCCGCGGCGCTGCACATGCGTGACCCGGGGGCATATCAGAAGAAGGTGGGCTGGCTGGCTGTGGCCGCCTCGTGAGCTGAGCTGGCCTTTGCTTAATCGTTAGGTTGCTGCAGCCGGCCTGCAGGGGAGCGACGTGCTGCTTGCATGGACCCTGGGTCCGAGCTGGGTGTGCCAGCTGCCCTGCCCTGCAATCTGACCTGCGTCGTGAATTGTACCGCGCATGTACTGCACCGGTACCGCCTGCAGGTGAAGGACTATGTGGTGCGGTACGCCAAGGCCGAGGACGTGGCGGCGCTGGAGGAGGCGGAGAAGCACGGCGGCGGAGGCGGCGACGGCGCGGAGCGCATGAGCGAGGATGAGTCGGGTGGGTGGCGGCTGCATGATGGCTCTGTCTAGCTGGCTGGGAGGCTGGATGCATGCTGATTGTAGATAGCTGGGCATGTTCATTGGCAGGCAGTGGGATGTCGCAGCTCTTGACCCAAGCATCCTGTTTCGGATCTTCCTGCTGCTGCTGCAGACGGCTTCCTTTCCAGCAGTAGCGACGAGGAGGAGGAGCAACCAGCGGGCAAGATGGAGTGACCCCCCCTCCCTGCCCTCGCCTTGTTTGTGCGTCCGTGAGCCCCGTTCCCGCTAGGCAGCTCCCCCACACACTTGCATTTGTCGCTAGCAGTGCTAGGCCCACCTGTCTACCCTTTCCTTATCCCATCTGCTTCTGGTGCCCCTATTTTTTGCTCTGCTTTTGTACATCACTGCCTTGCACCCGCCGCTGTACATTCCCCTGCGTGCCCTGCCGCTCCGCTCTGCTCGCTTGCCCTTGCTAGCGTGGTTGAGCGTGCCTGCCTGGTTCGCAGCCTCTGGCCCGCCACACAACTCGTACCTTCTCCAGCCTGCTGCCACCTAAACCCTTGGTGTCTGCGCCTCGCATCTTTTATTTTTGTACACTAGTGGCCTCCCCCGACAGGCCCCTCCCATCTCCTCCCATGATCCACCCCCGGCATTCTTACTAGCCCAGCCTGTGCCTCGCTCCGCTCTTCTCCTGGCAGACCGCACCGCTGTCTGCCTCTCTGCATGTGTTGCAATTGCCTGTGCAGTCCTGGAAACTGCTGATGGTTCCTGTAACAATACAAGGACGGATAGTCGAGCATTTGGGGATCTGTGGTTGGTGTTCCGTGGTGGTGGATGGCGACTTGGCGCCACCGCCCGCCCGCGGGCAGGTCAGCTACAATCCGCGCCTTAGGCCATGTGGCTTCGTTTTTTCGCTTTTACCGCACCTCTCATTACATTCTGCAGCTGCGCTGGCCTGCTCAGCACCGGCTGCTTGCCACGAACACGCCTGGCGCGTGGGCAGGGCCGATCACTGGGCCGGGGGCCTGACCGGAGAGTGGCACAGCCACCGACCACGCCCTGTGGCTGGCAGCGATGGGCGCACCAAGGTAGTGAGCTGACCCAACCCAGCTCCTGCCCACACACCCACGCTTGCGAACGCTTCCGAGAGGCCAGGCATGAGCAGCGCCAGGCGTCGCAGCACGGACGCGCCTGGTAGCAGCAGTGCAGCCCGGGGCGGTGGCGGCGGCGCTGGCGGGCCGCCGGGCACCACTCCTGGCTGGCGCTATACGCTGCGGGTGCCCAGCTGGAGCCAGGCGCAGCTGCCGGATGGCGACACCGCGGTGTTTTACCAGGTGAGTCAGCACGCGCTGCACCTGTGCTACGGATCACCATCAGCAACCGGCGGGAGCAGCCGCGGCGGCAGTCAAACCAGGGCGCCGCCCCGTTTGCCCCTTGGACCGTTGTTTATTGCTGGCTAGCTTGCCACAGGACCGTGCATGTTGTGCATGCTTGGCACACATGGTGTACCCCCTGCTCTGCTGCCCGGGCTGCAGGTGGAGGTGACGGTACTGCCTCCGCAGGGCGAGCCACGCAAGCGCAGCGTGGGCCGCCGCTTCAGCTCCTTTGTCACGCTGCACCGCAGGGTGAGGCAGCCGCGTGGGGGAGGCCCCGGCAGTACAGTGCACTGCACCGCCACTGCGGATCCTGTGTGTGTTTGCCGTGCCGCTACCTATGATGCCTAGGGTGCCAGCGGGCAAAGCCGCCTCCTGGAGGGGCTGGGCTGGTCCTGACCTCCCGCCCCGCCTGCCTGCAGCTGCGTGAGGAGCTGGGCCCCGCCGCGCTCCGCGACCTGGACCCGCCGCCCCGCCGCAGCCTGGCTGGCGTCAACCGCAAGTGAGCTCGGCTCTGCCTGTGCACCCAGGAATGCTTTACTGACGCCCTGGCTCTGCGTGCGTGCCTGCCTGCCTGCCTGCCTGCCGCTCATCATGCATGCCGCAGAAGGCCGACCGCGAGCGCCCCGTCTGCCATGGCCTTTGCGCGTGCTGCAGGCCGGAGCTCATTGAGCAGCGGCGGTGGGAGCTGGAGCAGTGGCTGTGGCGCCTGACAGAGTCGCCCCTGGTGAGTCGGGTGGGGTGCCTGGGAGGGAGGGGGCAGCAACGTGATGGATGGCGGGTTGTGGAGCATTCCATGTGGCAGCAAGGGCTGCCGGACAGCTGTCGCGTGTCTCCTGCTTGTGTGCTTGACCCCCCACCTGCCCCCCCACCTGCTTCTGCCCGCAGATAGCCAACAGTGTCATGATGTTTCACTTTTGTGAGCTGGACGCCGCGGCACGCATGCGCCCGCGGGCGGCGGCGGCGCCACGCGCGTCCCCGGGCTCCGCCGCAGGCGGCGCCGGCGCCAGCGGCGGCGCCTCCCTGCTGGGGAGCCCTGCCGGCAGCCTGGGCACGGCGGCCGCGGCGGCTGCGCCTGCGGCGGGCTTCCTGGGGCCCGGCAGCAGCACCCAGCTGAGCCCCATGCACAGCTACGCCCCCAGCTGGTCGGGTGCGTGGTATGCTGGCTGTGCCGGGGCAGTGTCCCTGGTTGCTGTGTCGTGTGTAGTAGGAGGAGAGAGTTGGCACTGCGTTGCTCGCATGTTCCCCGAAAGCCATGCGGGCTGGCTGGCTTACGCGTGCCATGTGTTGCCGCCATGCCGTGCTGAGCAGGCAGCGAGGCCTCTGAGCTGTATGGCGAATCCAGTGCCAGCAGCCTGGCAGCCGCCGCCGCCGCCGCCACCGCGGCCATCTCCGCAGCCGCCGCAGGCAGCAGCCCCGCTGGCAGGCAGCATCACCAGCAGCCGGCGCCGCCGGGCCAGCTGCACCAGTCGCTGTCGCTTCATGCCCGCAGCGACAGCCAGTCTGACAGCGGCAGCTCCCGGCAGCAGGCCGCCCAGCTGCCGGCTAGCGCGGGGGCCGGGGCCCTGGGCGGCGCAGGCCAGCTGCGGCTGGCCCTGCCGGTGCAGCAGCGGGGCGCGGCCAAGGCGGCGGCACGCCAGCTCAGGGAGCAGCTGGCGGCGGCGCAGGCTGACCTGCAGGGTGAGGCGTCAAGGCAATGCCACGGCTGTGCGTGAGCAGCCAGGGCTGTGTGTGGTTTCATCTCGGCCTGCTGCTTGCGCCTCTGCTCAGCTCACCTGATGTTTGGCGGCAGTCGAGGTCGCCTCAGTGACAGCGCTTGCCTGCCCGCTGTGCAGATGCCGTGAGGACCATCGCTGGTGACCAGCAGGCCATTGCCCAGCTGGCGGCGGAGCTGCAGCAGCTGCAGGAGCTGCAGCAGCTGCAGGAGGAGGCGCAGGAGGAGGGCGGCGGCCCTGAAGCAGCAGCTGGCCGATTTGGAGGCTCAGCGGGATGAGCTGCTGGAGCAGCAGCAGCAGCAGCAGCAGGTAGCCCAGGAGGCGAGCAGCAGGGAGCAGGAGGCACAGCAGCAGCTGGCGGCGCTTCAGGCGGAGCGGGATGGCTTCCAGCAGCAGGCGCAGGAGGCGCAGCGCCAGCTGGCGTCGGCCCAAGCTGAGCTGGCGGCGGTGGCGGCGCAGCAGGCGGCGGCGGCGCAGGGCCGGGACGAGGAGCGGCAGCAGCTGCTGGCGGTTCTGGAGTCGCAGTGCAGCAGCCTGCAGGCGCAGCTGGGTGAGGCGCAGGCGGCCGCGGCGGCTGCTGCTGCGGACAAGGAGGCCGCTGGCGCCAAGTCTCGGGACGACTTGAAGCTTCTGGCGAAGGAGGTCAAGACTCTGCGCAAGCAGCTGGCCGCGGCGCAGCAGGCGCAGCAGCAGGAGGGGCAGCAGGCGTCCGCGCCGCCGCAGGAGCAGCAGCAGCAGCAGCTGCTTCAGGAGCGGGATGCCGAGATTGCCCGCCTGCGAGAGCAGCTGGCGGCGGCGCAGCTGGCCGCACCCAGCAACGGCATCACGCCCAAGGCAGCAGGGGTGGTAGCAGCAGGGCAGCCGGCGTCTGAGCAGCTGGAGTCGGTCCTAGAGGCAGCCGGGGCGCTGAAGCAGCTGCTGGGAAGCTGCAGCGTGAACGGCAGCGAGGCGATGCATGCTGGGAGCGCGTCCGAGGTTCTGTCGCGCCTGGCTGCCGCCGCTCAGCAGCTGGCCGCCATTAGGCAGCAGGTGCGCCAGCAGCTGCTGGAGGCTCCGGCAGCATCTGCAGCGGCGGCGCTGGAGCTGGGAGGCGGCGACGACGGCCGCAGCTCGCCTGCTGCCGCTGCCGGCCCCGAGCGGCGGCTGCGTGAGCTGCTGGCGGGGCTGCTGCTGGATGCTGCTGCAGCCAAGCAGGAGTCAGCTGACCTCCTGCGCAGCACCCTCACTGTGTCAGCGCAGGTTAGTGGGGAGCCAGCGCCGGCGCCAGCTGCCGCCCGGGCGGGTGACTGAGCCAGGCGGGCAGACCTGCTGAGCGGCTGCAGTGGGTTGCGGCGGCGCTGCCGCAGCTTGCCGCTCCGTGCCTGCACAGCCCGACAGCCCCCGCTGGTGGTGGCGCAGCTGCAGGGACTGGAGGAGCGGCTGCTCAGCCCCACCGCCAGCCCAGTGCGGCGCGCCCCCACACGCTAGATAGAGATAGAGAGCCGCCAGGCAGTCAAATACTCCCCTCCCGCAGTGCCGCAGCACAGCAGCTCCGGGCCATGCGCCAACTTCAGCGGCAGCAGCTTGCCCCCAACGTGCCCTTGCCCCTGCCGCATGTTTGCTGTGGCTTTGGCTGATGTAAATGCAACATGTCCTGCCTCTACCATCCTGCCTTACCTCTGGCACGCCAGGGTAGCATGCCAGGCCGCGGTCAGGGCAAGAGGGACAGCGCCGGGGCTTTGCAGAGGGGGTTCAGCAAGGTATCTACACAGCCCCAAGAGCAATGCATGATACCAGCGATCAGGCAGGCGCCTCAAAGAAGAGGCGGGAGGGGATGCCGTAGCAGACGGGCGCCGCGCCCACCAGGTGCGGCAGCTTGCAGGCCGCCCGGCTGGCCGCCACCGCGGCGCACATGTCGCTGCCGCTGTTCCCATCGCTGCTGCTGCCGCTGTCGACGCCGCTGTCGCCGCCGCTGCTGCCGCCGCCGCTGCCGCCGCTGGCCCCGCTGATCCAGGCTGTGAGCAGCGCCTGGCTGAAGCGGTCGATGTCCTTGTCGGTCACATCCCACAGGTTGGCCACGGCGGCGGGGCAGCCTGCACAGCCAGGCATGCGCATGCAGGTGGGGAGTGAGCCCGGGGGGCGGGGGGGTTCAGGTGATGTGCATGCAGGAGGGCTGTTTTCCCTGGCGGCGGCCCACACAGGCTCCGCCACCCATCGCGACATGCCGGCCTTGCACATGCCCCTGAAAACCCACCCGCCAGCAGGTAGGCCAGCACGGCGCCGATGGGCTCGTAGTGCTGCTGCGCGCGCAGCCTGCCGCTGCTGCAGCCCATGAGCAGCGCCGCGGAGCAGCGCTCCAGGCTGCGCAGCTTGGCGGCTGCAGGCGAGAGAAGGGCGGGAGGCGGGGGGCCACCGAGGGCAGGTGAGCCACACCGGCGCGAGGGCTGGGCCCTGGGGCACGCAGGCTGGCACAGGGCCGGGGAGGCGGGCGGGCACGCAGCCGCCTGCCGCTCGCCGCACCTGAGATGTACTGCTCGCCGCCGCCGTGGCCGCAGTACAGGAAGAAGCGCCGGCTCTGCAGCGCCGCCGCCAGCTCCGCGGCGCTCGGGGCGCACCCTGCCTTGCCCTGCACGCACCCGCCAGCGAACAGAGCAGCGCTCACTCCACAGCAGCCGTCTCTCCTTCCCGCCAACCGCTCAATGCCTGGCGCAGGAGCAGGCCAGGCAGCGGCAGGCCGGCGCCCAGCGACCGCCCACCTCCCAGCCGCGCATGCCGGCAAACCAGTGCTGGAAGGCTGCCTGCGTGGCCTCCAGGTCTCCGCTGGGGTTGAGGGCGTAGAAGGTGGAGCCCAGGTCGACGCTGCAGGAGGCGGGAGGGGGTGGGCTGTGAGGAAAGGTGTAAGGAAGGCGGGCACGGCGGGTGAGGGGCATCGCACGGATGCATACCAGGGCCAGCACAGCAGAGTCAGGGCAGGCCGCTCACAACGTAGCACGAGAGTCCCTTTGTTCCACCCCACACACCTGGTGTCGGCGCGCCGGGCGGAGGCGGCGGCGCAGGCCAGGCTGGGCATGCGGTACATCCTGCACGGGCGAGGCGGTACAGGGCCAGCATCCTCATCGCCTGCCACCACTGGCAACCATGGCAGGCTGGCGCGCTTCAGCCAAAGCCGCAGGCAAGCAAGCCTGCCCGCCGCCACTCACCGCTGATGCAGCAGGCCGGCGGCGCTCTCCCAGGGCAGCGCCTGCAGCGCGCCATCCAGTACCAGCAGTACCGGCCCGGCAGCAGCAGCAGCAGTGCCCGCGCTCTCGCCGGGGCGCGCAGCATGGGGGGGCGCCGTCTTGGCTGCCGTCAGCGGCAGCTCCCGTGCCGGGCGGGGCGCCGTGGCCGCCGCTGCCGCCGCCCCTGCCACAGCCCGCGGCTTGCGGGCGGTGCCGGGCCCCGGGGTGGCGGCCTGCATCATGCGCAGGCGGGAGCGGTGCTTGCCGCTGCGTGCCGTCGTCGCGGTGCCCGCTGCCGCGGCTGCTGCCGCCGTGCTGGGGGCTGCTGGCTGGTCGTCGAGGCTCAGCCCATCAAACACACGGCACAGGCCTCCTCGAGCCACAGTCTGGGGAGGCTCCTCTGCATCTGCCACACCGCTGCCTGCAGCTGCCAGCGTTGCCACAGGCGAGGCATCGCCCCCGCCGCCCTCAGCAGGCTCCTCGGCAGCGGCTGCCGCGCCTCTCCTGCCCCTGGCTGCGGCCGGCGTGCGGGCCCTGCCGTCCCGTGCTGGCGCCGGTGTGGGCTCGGGCTCCACCGCTGCTGCCTCCTCCTGCTGCTCTGCTGCTGGGTCCAGCTGGTCGGCAAATTTAACCGACCTGCCTGCTGCCCTCCTGGCCTTGCCGGCAGCCGCGGGCGGCGGCGGTCCCGCATCAGGCACGTCTGCATCGCCCGCCTGATCAGCGGCTGCTGCTGGGCTGGCGGGGCGAGGACCCGGCGCTGCCAGCAGCGCCGCCAGTTCCTGCTGCTGCTCCTGCCCGCATGCAAGCCCCGCGGCGTGGCACAGCTGGTGCGCCGCCTGCCGCCGCTCGCCGGGCGTCATTCCGCCGCTGCCGGCGTGCCGGGCCAATACCGCCGCCGCATGCCGCAGCACGCCGGCCTGCTGCCGCGAGGCGGGCTGCCCTTGAGCTTCCAGCAGCACCAGCAGGTGCTGCGCCGCAGCCTGGCCGGCGCCCGCGGCTGCGTCACCATCTGAAGAGTCGCCCAGCAGCAGGCTCCTGCACGCAAAACAACAGGCGCAGGTGGGCGGATGGGTGCAGTTGCCACAGCTGGGCAGGATGCACGCGAGTTGGTCATTCAGCAGGCAGCCCTCCCATCGACCCACCCACCTCCAGGGCCCCAGCCAGGATGAGTCCAGGTGCTTCACCAGCGCCGCCAGCCGGTCATCCAGTGACAGCCTGCAGTGGAGAGGTAGAGGCACAAGGCAAGGCACCGCAGCACAGGTCAGCCGGCCGGCCACAAGCACGCCTCATCATCGCTGACACCCCGGCAGCCTTCGGGAGGCCGGCAGCCGCCGTCCTGCTCGTCTCAGCAGGTCACCAGCTGCGCGCGTGCTCACCGCGCGCGCCACCACTCCCGCTGCTGCTCCCGCGTCTCTGTGCTCATCTCCCGCATGCTGCGCCCGCTCTCCTGCAGCACCGCCGCCATCTCCTCCACCACGCTCTGCACGCTGCTCACAGCAGCGCTGCCTGCCCCGGGCTCATCGTCCATTCTGAGCGCCCGGATGGGGTGCTGGGACAGGCTGGCGCTGAGCTGTTGCACCGGCAGCGCCACCAGCAGCGGAGGCAAGCAGTCGCCCGCCGTGCCGCTGCCGGCTGGTGCCAGGCGGGAGATGAGGAGGCTGCCGCCACCGGAGCCCGAAAGCACGCTGATGCTGCAAGCGACTGTGCCAGCCGGCAGGACCGCCTGCCATGCCAGGAGCTGCTGCCGTGCCTGCTGGTCCAGGGCGGCCAGTGCTGCTCCGGCGTCGCTGGCTGAAGCGTCGGCAGCCGGTGCTGGCGCCGCCTTCCTGCCTCTTCCTGCAGGCGCAGGCGCTGGCTGCTGCCGAGCTGCTGCTGCCGTGCTGCACCCTGCCAGCTGCAGCACCAGCTGCCAGTCAAGCTCAGGCTGTAGCACGTCCGACTCTAGTCGCTCCAGCTCCTCTGCCTGGGCGGATAGGTCGGCGGTGCCAGCCCCCCTGCGCTGCCGCTGCAGCAGCTGCTGCCGGCGGCTGTGCAGTACCAGCTGGTACTGCAGGCGCATGGCCGAGCCCAGGGAGGAGTGCAGCAGCCAGGCCGCCAGGTGCAGGTGGCCGGCCTTGCCACACGCCTCCGCCAGCAGCACCGCTGCCGACCTGCAGCGCCAGGCGCAAAGCGCAAGGATAGACTTGAGCAATGCAGGTAGCCATGGGCATGACATGTCCGCTGATGAGGGCACATCCAAGGCTTGTCGCGCATGGCTCACCTGTGCATGCACGGCAGGGACTTGCTGAGCTCCAGAGCCTGCCACAGCCGCTGCTGGTGCTGCGGCACGGCACGGGAGGCCGTGGCTGAGCGGCTCGCTGCTGCGTCGCTGGTCCCCGCATCTCCTGCTGGCGCGGCCGCCTTGCTCCGTCCCCGGCCGGCAGCCGGCTTGGCGGGTGCCTCCCTGGACCTGCCCTTGGGCGCAACGGGCACCTCATCGGCGGCTGCGCAGCAGTCCCGCCCCAAGCCCCAGACTGCCGGCTGCTGCTCGGCCTCTGCCTGCGGCGCGGAATGCTGGCCCACGAACAGCAGCGCAGCGGCCTGCTGGTACCGTACGGCGCTGCACATGCAGCCGCCATCCGCAGAGGCCGCCGCAGCGGCGGTGGCGTGCTCAAGTGCAGCAGCGGTGCCATCCTGCTGCAACGCTGCCTCTGCAGCTGTCAGCAGCGCGGCAGAGCGAAGGGCATTGCACCAGCCAAGTGCCGGATGGTGCTTGCTGCCCCCTGCCGCCACCGCCGCTGCACATGCCAGCTCCTCGCAGCTGCTCACCGCCGCCTGGCACCTGAGCAGGGCAGCCTTGCTGATGCCACCGCCGCCGCTGCCCGATGCAATATCCAGCTGCGCCCTGACCAGCTGCACCGTGGCTCGGCAGTAGTCGAGCGGCAGAGAAGGGGCGATTGCCATCCCCGCCAGCCCCTGCTCGGCAGCGCTGGCCGCATGCTCTGCTGCCTCCGGCTGCCCCAGCTTGCACAGCATGTCAGCCAGCCTGGCAGCAAACACGGCTGCCACGGGCCGAGCCCCAGACGCCGCAGCCTGCAGGCATGGCGACCACGAGGGGTTGATTGAGCAGAAGGTGAGAATACATGCAGGCACCGGTGGCGCCGACATGTAACCTGATGTGCAGCACCGGCTGGCCAACCCCGAGATGCCAATGCTGATGCAGGTCGCCTCTGCGCCACTCACCAGCCGCTGCCCCTCGCGCAGAGCATGCAGCGCCTCGTCAGCCAGCCCCGCGGCCTCAAACAGCTGCCCCAGCTGCAGCAGGCTGCCCAGGTATGCTGCCGCCAGGCGCCACCAGCCGAGCGGCGGCGCGTCGCTGCTGGGTGGGCTGCATCCTGCTGGCGCCGAATCCTCGTGGAAGAGTGTAGCCAGCAGGCGATGCCCCTCAGAGGCATGGTACAGGGAAGGCACCATGTCCCCAGCCGCCCCAAACGCCTCTGCGGCCTGGCAGTGCAGCACTGCACGACGCACCGCCGCGCCGCTGCAGCGCCCGCCTTCGAGCGCCGCTGCCTCTGCCTGCCGCTGCAGGTCGGCAGCGGTGCCGGCAGCTGCGGCCGGGAACAGGCAGCCAGCCAGCAATTCGTCGACTGGCTGCACGCCCGGCAGCAGCTGATGTAGCTTTCCGGCTGCGCCCTGGCTGCCGTGCAAGCTCAGCAGGTAGGAAAGCTCCTGGAAAGCTGCCCGTGTCTGGTCGTCTGATGCGCCCTCGCCGGCTGCCTGCAGGGCTTCCAGCGTCTGCTGCGCCTGCTGCTCCACCCGCCGCCAAGCAGGCCCGTCCGGCTGCCCACCAGCCAGCTGCACCACCGCCGCAGCATCCTGCTCCCTGCTGCCGGCTGCGCTGGTGGAGGCCGCCACATGCGTGCGCTGCCGCTCCTGCTGCTGCTCTAGCAGCGCCTGGGCTGCCAGCTGGCGGGCAGAGTCCACAGCCAGCAGGCAGCGGGCCCTGGCCAGCACGGCGGCTGCCGGTGCGCCGGGCACCTGCGCAATGGCAACACAAAGGGGCAGTGCCAAATGTGTGGAGCTGAACCTCTGTCATGGGAGAGCGCAACAACGTGGGGGAGAGCAGCAAACCGACTGGCACACAGACGCAGAACGCGCAGGCAGCATCCCATCCTGCCCACCTTGTTCACCGCCTGCACAGCCCGCTCCAGCAGCCAACTCCCGACCCGCCCATCTTCAGCTGGCATGCCCAGCTGGTGCAGCGCCAGCAGCGCCGCCGCATGCTCCACAGGCCGCTGCTCTGCCGGGAAGACTGCTTGCAGCAAGCGCTGCACCGTGTGGCGGCAGCCTGCCGCCCCCATGCCGTCTGCTTGTGCTGCCGCCCAGCAGTGCAGCTCCACCTCGACCACAGCTGCTATGCTGCCACGTGGCAGCTCTGCCTCGCGCAGCAGCAAGCCCTCCACAAGCAGCAGGTTGCTGGCAGCCGGCTGGCTGAGGCTGCTGGCATCTGGCGCAGCGGCAGTGGCGCTTTTCTTGCTGGCTGCCGCCCTGCCGCGCCTGCTGGGGGGCACAGCAGCTGGCGCCGCATGCTGCTGCTGCTCATCGGAAGCCGGCTGGTCAGCCTGCACCCGCACAAACGCCTGGACCAGCGGCTGCCAGGCGGAGGGCGACGCAAAGCCCAGCTGCAGCAGGAGCGCCGTGCAGTGCGCAAGGCTGCTGAGCGCGCGCTGGGCGTCGCTGGCACGTTGCTGGGCATCCGCCAGTGCACAGACTTTGCGACAAAAGTCGGCCAGCCAAGCGGGGGCATCCTGCAAGCACATGCATGGCGTTTCGTGCATCGCAAGTTGGCAAGAGTGGCTAGGGGAGGACTCGTCTCAAGGCTGGCAGTCGTGGCCGGTGCCACGCGAGAAGCGGCCCACCTGATCTGCGGCGCCTCCTGCTAGCCGCCGCAGCCCCACCGCTGCTGCTGCCAGCGCGGCATGCATCGCTGATGCGCCGGCCGCGTACTGCTGGCTTCCATGCAGGTCCACGCCAACGTTGAACAAGGCAGAGGCCAGCCAGGAGAGCTCCTGGGGCTCCACGGCGCAGACAGCAGGCGGCAGCCCCGCGCTGCAGCAGACAGGGCACCAGGGGCGCAAAATCTGGCGGCAAGAAGAGCCGGGGGCAAAACAGCAACCAGCGCAAGGCAAAGCAGGGCAGCAGGCTGAGTGCGTCAGCGCATGCAGGTCGGGGCGGCCGAGCATCTGCACACCTGCCAGCACAGTAGGCCTGTAAGTCCCACCCCAGCAGCCAGCGCACTGCTCGGCTGCTGACCAGCTCTGCAGGGTCGCCTCTGCTGCTCAGGCAGGCTGCCCGCAGGCGCGCTGCGGTGACTAGCCCCACTGCTGCGGCATGGTCCTGGCTGCCATCCAGGCTGTCCTGCCTGCTGGACAGCCACACCATGCCGCAGAGGAGCTCCAGCGTGGACGCTGCTGCCGCCACAGCTGCAGCGCCACCCAGCAGCTGCCCCACGCCCGGGCTGCTCCCGCTTGCGCCCTTGGCCTTGTCGCCTGCTGCCAGGTGGGCGGCCAGCACTCGCCGCAGCGCGTTGGCCGGCAGAAAAGCCGCCTCCAACAGCGCCACCTGGACTTGCTGGCTGCCCAACGGTTGCGGCCGCGCTGCCGCCAGCTGACCCTCCAGCTGCTCAATAGCGCTGGTGACGACCTGCACAACCGAAGCAACAGGCTCCAGCCAGTCTGCAGCTCCAGCCCCGCTGCCAGGCGCCTGCACCACCAGAGCTGGGAGCAGCAGGGCGGCGGTCTGCAGCAGCTGCTGGCTGCCGCCTTCGGCTGCTGCGGTGGCTGTGCAGCTCAGTGCCGCCTGCTGCAGCTGCTGGCAGGCTGCGGTGCTCGACGCGTGCTGCACTGCGGAGCACAGCAGGCCGAGCAGGCCCAGGGCCGCACCGCTGCCGAGCGCCAGGCTGCCGGTTCGTGCCGCCAGCGCGGCCAGAGCAGTCGCCGCCGCCTCCTCAGGCATGTGCCCCGCCAGCTTGCCCACCGCCTGCACAGCCCGCTGCTGCGCCGTGGCATCGTCGCCAGACGCAGCCAGCAGGCTGCTGCACACTCCCGCCAGCGGCTGCCAGGCCTGCCGCTCCAGAAGCATCACCGCCGCCTTGTATAGATACTTGTGAGCGGCCTCGCCGTGCCTGGCCGCCTCCTCGCGCTTCAGCTCGCTGCACGTCAGCAGGGCAGGTAGGCATTGCTAATCATTTATGCAAAGAGCAGTAATAGTGCTAGACGGAGTGTTTAAAGCACCAAATGCCGCCGGGATCACTGCACGCGATGTGGCCAGCGGCACACGGCCGGTGCCCGCACCTGAGCCAGGTCGGCAGGATGTCTGCCGCCTGCAGCAGGCCCTGCATCGCCTGGGCGTCGTCAAACAGCTTGCCCTCCACGCAGCACAGCACCAGCGTGAGCGCAGTGCCCACCATCATGTTGGCTGCCTCGTCGGCAGCTGCGGCGGAGGCCGCTGCCCGCCTGCTGCCACCACCCGCCGCCGCCGCCTGCTTGCCCAGCTGCTGGAACAGCAGCCAGGCCTCTGTCTGGGCGTCGGCAAAGGCCTTGCAGGACACCAGGCGCCGTGCAAAGTTGTAGCGCAAGCCTGCCAGCTGCTGGGTGTTGCCGGCGGGTGTGAGTGCCGCCACCGCCGCCAGGCTGGCCCGACCCACTGCCACCAGCTGCGCCAGGCTCCTGCGGTCATCCCCGTCGCCCTGTGCCTGCGCCAGGCGCTGCTGTGCGGCCTTGAAGCATTGCTGGGCGGCCTGCAGCGTCTCCCTGGCGGAGCTGTTCTCCTTGCCTGCGCTTGCGGCAGCCTTGGCGAGGGCGGCTGCCAGCTGCGGCGCGGCACCGAGGCTCTCGGCCTCGCTGCCGCGCACAAACGCCTCGGCCAGCGCCAGCACGGCCATTAGGGTGCGCCGCTCAGCTTGCGACAGGTGGTAGTGCAGCCATTGCTGCCTGGTGAGCTTCCATGTGTGAGGGCACGAGTGATAGCGCCCGCGGCGCAGTAAAGACAAAACTTGCAAGAGGGACAGCACCGTACTGCACTCTGGTTATTGCAGCCTCGCTGCGCGATTGCAGCAGTGCATTGGTGATTTGCATCACCCGTTATCTATACACAGCGGCTGCATGGCCGAACCAGTAGCCAAGAAGCGGCGCACGGTGATGGAGCCGCCTCCACCCGCGCATGTGGAGGTCTCACGGCTGTGCAGGCACCACCTGTCGCTCCCAGGGGATCGGCTGCTGTCGCCGGGGGCCGCCCACAGCACTCGGGTTGCAGTAGCGGTGAGGCGCCAGCGGCGGCACACAGCAGCACCGCTGCCGCTGCCGTGCCTGGCTGCCATCCGCACGCCAGCCCCTCACTCCTTCTCCTGTCTCAATGCCCTCAGGCGCTTCCAGGTCCAGATGCCGCGCAGTACGAGGCGTTTGTGGCCTCGGGGCGGCACGTGTACAGCGTGGCAGTGCCGCGAGGGGGCGCCTTCGCCGGCGAGCGGGGCAAGGGCGGCGTGTACATCGCAGAAGCGGGGGCAGAGGTGCAGGCGGCGCCGCTGGGCGCGCTGCAGCACCAGGCAGAGGTGCAGCACCTGGCGCTGCACGAGCAGGGCGACGGCCAGGCGGTGCTGGCGTCGGTGGACTGCTACGGGCGAGCGTTGCTGGCGCAGGCGCGGCGGCTGGAGGGGCAGCCGGGCCTGCACATCACCGGCGTGCACCAGCTGCAGCCAGCGGATGTGCTCAGGTGCGTGCAGCAGGTAGCTGCAGGTCAAGCCCGCAGCCAGCAGCCAGCGCAGCAATGCCAGGCTCTCCCCAGCCCATCACCAACCAGCCCCAGCCCACCACCAACCAACCGTCACCCTCTCGGTGCACATGCCGGCCTGCAGGGAGCCTGGTTGGGCGGGTGTGGCGCTGGCGCCCGGCCAGCCCTCGCAGGCAGCCGTGGCGCGGCACTTTGCCAAGGATGTGACGCTGTTCGACGGGCCCATGGCGGTGCAGACGATACACACGCTGTACCGCCCAACCGCCGTGCAGCTGCTGTCCACCCGCCATGTGGCCAGCCCGGGCGGCGGCCCGCTGGTGGCGGTGGCGGAGGGGCCCCAGCTGTCGATATGGGATGTGCGGGGCAGCAAGCGCGGCGGCCGTGTGGCCAAGCTGTGCCCGGGCCCGTACCACGGCCACTTGTACTGCATCGCGGCAGCCGACGACGGCGGCCTGCCGCTCATAGGTGCACACACGGCACGGCACTCGGCATGGTCCCTGTCCAGCAGCAGCTGCAGCCTGTTTCTGCAGGAGCGGCTGGCCAGCCAGGGCGGCTCCATAACCCCCGACCGCCTCCGCTGCTGCGCCTCCTTGGGTGCAGGCGCGGCGGGGCACGAGCGGTCTGTGCTGGTGTGGGAGCCGCGCAAGTGGGTGCTGCTCGACCGCTGGTCCAATTGCCTCAAGTATGAGGCCACAGGCATGCACTTCTGCTCAGGTGGGGCATGACCCGGTCAAACATGCCGGTCAAACTCTGGCCGCACGCACTGGGCGCGGCAGGTGTGGCCGGCACGCTCCTGGGCCCGCCGCCGCTGCCGGCTGGCTTGATGCCTGTTGTGGGGTGGGCTGCCGATGCTCTGTTTCGTCCCCTCCCCTCCCCTTGCCGTTCCCGCTTTCCTGCAGCCAACCCGCGGCTGTGCTACGTTGCGGGCATGGACTACGAAGTGCTGTGCGGGGAGTGGGGCGGCAACAAGGCCAGCCGCCTGGGCGGCGGCAACCGCGCCGCCAACAACACGCACACGGGCCTCAAGTCGGGAGCAGCAGCAGCAGGGGCGGCAGACGCGCAGGGGTGCGCCAAGAGCTTGCCGCCGACTGTGCGCCGCATGCCAGCCCGCCTCCAACTGCGTTGCTGGCCTGGACGCTGCCTCCCTCTCTCTGTGCCGGCATAGAGTACGTGCTTCCGTGCTCTGGTGCTGCCTGGTGCAGGGAAGAAGAAACGGCAGCAGCGGCGGGCGGCCTGGGGCGGGGCGTCTCCTTCAGAGGCGACTCTCGCTGGGTGGGGCTGGGCAAGGCGGCGGGGCAGGACGTTCTGGCGGGCATGACCCAGTCCTGCCAGCTGTATGTAGCCGAGTTCGCCGCAGGATGATGCAATGCTATGCTGAAATCTCACACTGCAATTTTGCAGCATCAAAGGCACCAACCAGGCGGTCGATGGGCGGCGGTCGATGAGCGGCCGGCTGTCGTGCCCGCTGGCGGCGCCACATGTGGCCATATGTGATCGATCGAGGCGCCTTTTTCCCTGCCCAGCCAGCGTGTTGGAGCTCGGGGCTTGTAGACCGCCCGGCGTTGAGCTCCCGCACACTCTCGCGTGATACGACAGCTATCCCAGCAGGGCCCCGACACTGATTAGCCGCCGCAGTCGCAGGCTGATCGATCATGAAGGCAGGAAGGGCGTTGGCGGCCCTGCTGCAGCGGGGCTGGGCTGCCGCACCCCACCCCTCGCAGCAGCAACCTGGGGCCCTCCGGCAGCTGCAGCGCGGCCTGTCCGGCGGCCCGTTCGCAGGCCGCGCCGGAGGGGCTGCCGCAGCTGCGCCCTGGCTGGCGGCGGTGGCAGCGGGCCTGGCGGGCGGCGTCGGGCTGCAGCTGTATAGCAGCACCGACCCGGCGCAGTGCCGCGCTGCCGACAAGCCCGCTGCTTCCGGTAAGGGGGCGAAGGAGTTTGATAAGGAGGAGGTGGCCAAGCACCGCACCAAGGAGACAGGTGGGCTTGGCGTGGGCCCGCCTGCTGCCGTGTCGGTTGGCGGCAGGTGGTGCCAGCGACCCGCGCCAGCAAACACATTCCCGCCTCGCCGCATGCGTGGGATGGCGGCCTTGCGGCAGCCGGCAATCCGCGGCATCGCTGCCTCGCCCCTGCTGCGCACCCTGGGCCGCCGCGTGAGGGGCTGGGGTGGCAGCGCAGGCAGGCGGGAATGCGGGGAGGCACAGCCCACGCTCTCCCAGCCGCCCACTCGCTCCTGCTTGTCAAACCTTTTCACCGCTTCCCCTTTCTCCCTTTCTTGTCCAGTTCATCTCCAGAAGAATCATACCCACCCCAACGCGTGCGTGCAGGCATCTGGGTGACCTACAAGGACGGCGTGTACGATGTGACCAAGTTTGTGGAGCAGCACCCGGGCGGCGCGGCGCGCCTCATGCTGGCCGCGGGCGGCGCCATCGACCCCTTCTGGGCCATGTACCAGCAGCACAACAACGACCAGGTGGGTAAATGGAGTAAATGCATGTGTGTGTGCATGCATGTGGCACTGGTATGGGTGTGTGTGTGCGCGCGCGCGCGCGCGTGTTTGGGGGCATACAAGCGGCCGCATCGGCGGCAGCTGCACAGCCCACGCCGGCCGGCGAGTCGGCGCTGCTGTCGCCCCTCGCCGCGCTTGCTTGCTTCCGGCTGCATGCTGCATGCTGCACTGTACCGCCGCTCCACCTCCTGTGCCCGCCGCCGTACCGCTGCCGCAGGTCAAGGGCATGCTGGAGGAGTATCGCATCGGGCGGCTCAAGGGCGGCGCCGCCGCCCCCGTGGCCGACCCATACGCAAACGAGCCCGCCCGCCTGCCCGCCCTCATCGTGCGCAGCCAGAAGCCCATGAACTCGGGTGGGGCTGGTGTGGCGGGCAGGGGGGCGGGGGCCTGGGCTGAGGTGGTGGCGGGGGTGGGGCCCTGGGATGGCATGGCGCTGGTACGGGAGTGCTCGGGCCTGGTGGTGCCACCACCTTGCCATCACGCGGCACACCCGCGTGCCATGCATGCCCCTCCTCGTGCCTACCACGCACACGCGCGCTCGCATGCCCCAACCAAGCAGCCTGCCCCGGGCTGCAGAGACGCCCAAGGAGCTGCTGGTGGGCAGCCTCATCACCCCCAACGAGCTCTTCTACGTGCGCAACCACCTGCCCGTGCCGCACGTGGACGCCGCCACCTACCGGCTGCGGGTGGAGGGGGAGGGGGTGCGCACGGTGAGCGGGACCGCCAGGCGCATGGGGGTGGGGCTGGCAAGCGCTGGAAGCCGCGGCTGCGGCTCGTCGATGCGGGCGAGAGGTCCGCTGTCCGCGCCCGTCCGCCCTGCCTTTCAGCCCCACAACACAACAGTATATCCCCCCGCACCCCACACACATGTGTGTGCCTGTGTGCCTGCCGCGCCTGGCGCAGATGGAACTGAGCCTGGAGGAGCTGCAGACCCGGTTCCGCCGCCACTCGGTCACCGCCACGCTGCAGTGCACCGGCAACCGCCGCAACGACTTCAACCTCACGCAGCGCCCTGTCAAGGGGCTGGAGTGGGATGGGGGATCCATCAGCACCGCAGGTGGGCGGGCGGCTGGCGGGGCAGCGGGCGGGTGCGTGGGGCGGGTGGCGGCTGATGGGATGGGTTGCCGGGTGGAGTGCTAGCGCGGGTGGAGTGCTAGCGTGGAGGGCCGGGCAGGCGGTGTGCATGCGGCAGGCGGTGCAGGCTGGTGTGCCGCAGCCTGGTCAAGAAGCGGCCGCTTCAGGCCACCCCACCCCAAGCTGCCCGCGCCCTCGCCGCCGCCGTGCGCAGTGTGGTCTGGCGTGCGGCTGCGTGATGTGCTGCTGGCTGCGGGGCTGGAGGACGACAACCCGGATGTGGCGCACATCCAGGTTTGTGGGAGGGTGGGGGAGTGTTGGTGGCGCCTGTGTGTGGGGGGTGGCGCTCGCAGAGCAGGCTTCGCCACGTCATCTGCTCCGCTGGTGCCGCCCTGTGTTTCGGCTGCTCTGCCGCACACACATGCTGCGCCCCGGCCGGCCAGGAAGCCACAAGCTGACGCTGTGCCGTGCTGCCCCGTGCCGTGCTGTGCACCCCCCACCCACCCCCTGCACGCAGTTTGAGGGGCTTGACACGGACATGGCCAGCCAGTGCTATGGCGCCAGCGTGGAGGGTGTGCCGCTCCTGCCTGTCGGGCTCCCTCCTGCCAGCCATCCCGGCCAGCCCCCGTGGCCGCCGCACCCCTTCCCTGTCCTGCCAGTGCTCCCAGCCCTGCACTTTTGCCGCCACCTCCCGAGCACACCCACCCCACCCACCCCCCACCTTCCCTCCCGGCAGTGGACAAAGCCATGGACCCTCAGGGGGACGTGCTGCTGGCCTTTGAGATGAAGGGCGCCCCGCTGCCCGCCGACCACGGCTACCCCGTGCGGGTGGTGGTGCCGGGGGTGGCGGGCTGCCGCTCGGTCAAGTGGGTGAGACAACAGGGTGGGGGGTGCAGGGCAGGGGGCAGGCGCAGGGTTGGTGGGTAGGTGGGTAGGTCGCAGGTGGAGTGCCCCCCCCCCAGAGGTGTGGTGGATGGGGAGGCAGGGGTCGAGCCAGGTTACCGAGTGCTCCGCCGCTGCCGCCCCCCGCTGGCCTCCCGCAGCTGGGCAAGATCGTGGCGTCCGACCAGGAGAGCGCCTCCTTCTGGCAGCGCAAGGACTACAAGGCATTCAGCCCCAGCGTGGACTGGCACAATGTGGACTGGGAGTCGGGTGGGGGCAGGGGCGGTGGGGTGGCGCGATGCCGTGCGTGTGTGGTGTGGTGAGGTGCGGCTGGGCGAGCGGGATGTGCGGCTGACGGCGGGGGCGAGCGCTCCGCAGTCGACAGCCAGTCTTGCAGCCCGAGGGTTTGGGAAGAGGGGTTTGGAGCAAGGCAGCGGCGGCTCCACCAGGGCACCGCCTCCTGCCCCCCCCGCCTCCCAGCGCCCGCCATCCAAAACATGCCGGTCACCTCCCACATCTGCGAGCCGCTGAGCGGCGCCGCCATCGACGACGACGAGGTCACGGGTGCGCCTCGGGCTGGCTGGCCGGCTGGCTGGCTGGCTGGATGACCCCAGCAATCACCTGTTCCTGAGTCGTCTCGTACCGTACTAGTAGTAGTGCATGGTGCCAACAGCTTGCGGTCTATTTGCGGCATGCGACCCGACCGTGCCTCTCCTCCCTGCTTCCCGGCCGCAGTCAAGGGGTATGCGTGGAGCGGCGGCGGGCAGGGCATCATCCGGGTGGATGTGTCGGCGGATGGCGGCGCCACCTGGCACACCGCGGAGCTCAACAAGGTGCCGCAGAAGCGAGGTGGGTGCGGCGCTTCAGGGCTGGCCGGGCAGGAGGTTTGTGCAGGGCGGCCTCTGACGGCTCTTCTCAAGCGGCTCCCTGCCACTCCGTCGCGCAGCATCCGCCTCCTGCGCGCCTGTGATTGGCCGTCGCCCGCTGCTGCCTGCGCCGCCTGCAGGGCGCGGCTGGGCGTGGGCGCTGTGGGAGGCGACCGTGCCGCTGCCCAAGGGCGCCAAGGGCGCCGTGCAGCTGGTGGCCAAGGCCACCGACGAGAGCTACAACACGCAACCGGAGCAGGCGGCACCCATCTGGAACCTGCGCGGCGTCAACTGCAACTCGTGGCACCGCGTCAGCGTGAACGTGCAGTAGGCTTGGGGGTGCGGCTGGCTGACGCCGGCCGCAGCGGTGGCGGGCAGCTTGCCCATGCGCGCTGCAGCGCGGGGGACTCGTGTCCACCATCACCGCACCTTCTCCATTCCTGTTGCATGCTATTGCTTCCTCTCCTCGATTTCTTCAGCATTCCGTTTAATTGCTCCTTAGTTAGGCCTGACTCCACCACAGGTCACCGTCCCGGAGAAAGCAGGCTGGAGGGGGCCTGGTACCCAGGATTGGGCACATCTCGTACATTCCTCCCGCATACCACTTCTCACACTTGTAAGCTGTCGTCTGAGGCACTCAGGCCTCCCGCCCACCCGCTGAGCCGCCCGCCCGACACCCGCCAGCGGCGGCCATCCCGGCGGGCTCTGGTGCGCCCTTTAGCGGGCGGTTAAGGCGAAACGCCACGACAGATTTGTGGAGAACACAGTATAGGTCAGTTGGAAAACCGCAGCCAGGGCCGCGGCGCAGCGGAGGAGCCACAATTCGGGATGGCGGGTCTGGGTGTGAGCGGCAGGTGCCCGCCCCGCCTCCTGGGCCCACGGCAGCCCAATCGCCACAATATTTTGCGCTCCTTAGTGCCCAGGGCGGTTAGGAAGCGGCAACGGCGAGCATGCGCGAGCAGGCTCGCCAGCAAAGTGATTGCCGCATGGTGCAGTGTCGAGCTTTGCCTCCTGTGCTGCCTGTGGCCCGCCTGGGCACCTGCGCCAACCATGGCATCCACCAAATCGCTGCACGACGCGCGCCGCATGGTCGCTGGAGGCGCCGAGTGGTGGCCACCTTGCTGCGGCCGCGGCAGGAGCGGGGGCAGAGCGCTGTAGCAGCTACCGCAGCAGTGATGGCCAAAGGGAAGCAGCAGGGGAGGCAGCGGAACCGGCGGAAAGCCGAGCGGGGGGAGCGGCTGAATGTCGGCAAAGCAAAGCAGGCGCATGCCCTGGCGGAGGCGGTGGAGGCGGCGAGCGAGCTGCAGTACCCGCCCCAGCCTGTGCTGCCAGAGTCAGAGGGGCAGGCACACAGCAGCTCCTGGAGTGTGCAGAGCAGCATTACGCCTCACTGTCCCGCCCGAAGTGCAGAGCAGCATGCACAGCGTGTCAGGGCGCAGTAAACAGAGATGACAGCGCCAGCAAAGGAAGTAGGTGTTGAGTGCCATGCACCTAGCGCCCGCCCTGCCGACAGCCGGCCTACCGAAGCAGCAGGCGCCTGGCTCGTAGGCAGTCAGTTCGCCATGCGTGCTGCAGCGCCAGGCCAGCGGCTCCAGCACGGAGAGCCCGACTAGGAGCCTTCAGCTGTGCCCGGCCAAGACCCAGAACTTCCCATGCCCCTGCCGTTCGGCGCCGGCGGCAGTGGCGGTGGTCAGCTACTCACGGCAGCTAGGTCAAGGCTGCTGCTGAGCTGCTGTCAGGCGCTGCAGTTGCAGCCTGGTGGTTGGGCGTCCCGCTGCTGGCGTGGCTGTGGCAGCCGCCATGGATGCAGCGGACGGGGGGCAGCAGCCAGCGGCCTGGCGGGCAGGGCTGTGCTGGCCATGTCGAGACCTGATCGAAAGCGGCGCAGCGAGCGTGGCACGAGCATGCCGCTGAGGGGCAGATGACGCTGGCACTCGCTGCTGCTGGTGAGTGATGCTGCCCCTTCCGCCGCAGGCTGATGGCGCTGCTGCTGCCAGCGCAGAGCAGAGGGAGCAGCCCTTGCGTGCTGTCGCTCTTGCTATCGCTTCCACCGGCCGGGTTCTTGCATGGTTGCCATGTGCAGGAAAGTACGAGGAGGCGGGGCTGCTGGATGCGGTGGTGGCTGCGGAGCAGCGGCGCAATCGGCAAAGCGCCGCGCCGGGGTGCAGCCGTGAAGATGCCAGGCGTACGGCGGCGCCACAGGCAGCACAGCCGGCAGAACCAGCTCGACATCATTCCGGCCGCGGGCATTCGGGCCGCGGGCATTCGGCAGCAGCGAGCCAGCGGAGCCCAGCAGCACCCCCGTGGCCCGCCCGCGATCCCACGGCATCTGAGCGAGCAGTACCATCTCCCCCGCCTGCTCAAGGTCTTCAAGGCTGCAAAGCCTGGCCAGGCCCGAGCGGCGGCAAGCAAGGCGTGGCACTGAACCGCGCGCGCGCCACTGCCCTTGAGCAGCTCTACCTGCAGCAGCATGACAGCCATGGGTTCCACACTGTCTTTCGGCCCCGGGCGGATGCCCTGCCAGCCTGGCTGCTGCTGAACCCTGATGCTGCACTTGAGCATTTCCTTGCGCTCCTCTGCCCCCAGACCGCCCCAGACCAAGCGCCGCGGGACGCTGAACTCCCTGCAACCGCTGTCCAGGCTATGCGGGCCGGCCCTCAATGTGCCCAGCTCCCACAGGGACGTGAGATTGTTCCTGGGGGCGCGCATGATGAGGCGGCGGCAGCACCGCAGGCGGCGCCCTCCCAGGGCGCTGCCGCGGCGGCCGCCGTGGCAGCCCCGGGGCTGGCGGCATTGGCGGCAGCAGGCTCCCAGCCTACCGGCACTCAGCCCAGCCCCGCTGCCTCCCCACCCCCGCCTGCCCCCGCAGCAGAGCCCCACCCCTGAGCGCCGCGGGACGCTGAACTCCCTGCAACCGCTGTCCAGGCTATGCGGGCCGGCCCTCAATGTGCCCAGCTCCCACAGGGACGCACAGATGAGATTGCCAGCCTGCTTGCCCAGATGGATGCGCCGTTCACAGCCCCGGAGGCGGTGGAGCTGGCCAAGCGCACACCTGCGCTGAAGGCGGCGATTGGCCCCCTGCCGCCCTGGCTGCTGAAGCCAGCGATTACAGCCATGGCCCCGCTCTGGGCCGCCGAGGCTAACGCCTGGCGCCGCGTGGCTCGCCTTTCCCGCCCTGACGCCCGCAGCTCCATCACGATGCTGGCCAAGCCTGGCGGAGCCCCCGTCACGCCAGCCGACTTCCGCGGCATTGCGGTCAGCCCGGTGTTCCCCAAGCTCTATGCTGCGGGGCTGGCGCGGCGCGTCTCAGCGCATGCGGAGGCAGCGGGCACCCACGCCGACGGCCAGTTTGGCTTCCGCCCCGGCCGCAGCACCGAGCAGGCGGCCCTGGCGCTGCGCACGCTGATGGACCGCTACCGACTGCTGCGCAAGCCCGGCAGCCGGCAGCGGGGCACCAAGCTCTGGGCCTGCTTCGTGGACTTCAAGCAGGCCTACGACCGAGTGCCACGCGAGGCGCTCTGGGCCAAGCTGGCACTCATGGGCTACAGCGGCGAGTGGCTGCGCGCAGTGCAAGCCATCTATGCCGAGGTCCCCATGTCTGTGAACGTGCCCGGCATCGCGCACCGCCTCATCCACACCACCATCGGCCTGAAGCAAGGCTGCCCCCTCAGCCCCATCCTCTTCGACTTCTATATCGCCGACTTTGAGCGCCGAATGCTGGACGCGGCGGCGGCTGGCGGCTTCCACCTCCCCGAGCTTCTGCCTGGCTACCCTGCGCCCCCGCTGTTCTTTGCCGACGACTGCGCCCTGCTGGCCACCACAGCAGCTGGCCTGCAAGCCCAGCTGCGTGAGCTGGAGGCCTACTGCCGCGAGAACGGCCTCACCGTCAACGTGAAGAAGACGAAGGTCATGCTGCTCGCCGGCGCCACCAGCGAGGAGGCGGCGCTGCGGCGCGTGCGCAAGGCGCGGTTCACCTATGCCGGCAGCGAGATCGAGGCGGTGCCCGACTTCAAGTACCTGGGCATCACCTTCCACTGCTGCAAGCCGCTAGGGGAGTCTGCTGCCGCTACCCGCGCGGCGGTGGCCCGCTTTGCCGCTGCATCGTTTGAGGCGCGATGCGAGGAGCTGGGCTTGGAGGCAGCCAAGCTACTGCTGACCCTTTATGACGTGCTTGTGGACTCTACGCTGTCCTATGCCGGCGCAGTGTGGGTCCCTGGGCTGGCGATGGCTGCGGCGGCACGCCCTGTTGTGAGCGGCGGCGCTGGACGCAGCACCCCGTTGTCGGAGCCCGAGCTGCAGCACCTGCGGTTCCTGAGGCGCCATCTGGCGCTGCCGCGCAGCACCCCCGCCGCCACTATCCTGGCAGAGGCAGGCCAGCCGCCGCTCCATGCCCGCTGGCTGCGGCAGGCAGCCCGCCTGTGGAACAGCTTGGTGACCGCCCCTGAGGGCAGCATGCCGCGCCTGGTCGTGCAGGCAGCGGCAGCGGTGGCAGTAGATTGCGCAGACGTGCCGCCACAGCGGCAGCCTTGGGCCGCCCAGCTGGCGCACAGCCTCCGGGCTGTGGGCCTGACGTTTGAGCCGCTCCACATGGACAAGATCAGCCCGGACGGCGCGCAGCAGGCAACCTTGCGGCTCCACCTGGCGCGTGTGACGCAAGAGACGCCCGCCCACACCCGGCTGCGCCACTACTTCTGCGATGTGCGCCCGGAGTGTTGTAGCCTGGATGGCTATGGCCGCCCACCATATGTCACGGAGGTGCGTGAGCGGCGCTGCCGCCGCGGCCTGACCGAGCTGCGCACAGGCATGCACTGGGGGGCGGAGGAGCAGGGGCGACGCACTGGCACGCCCCGCGAGCAGCGCGTGTGCCCGCACTGCCCCGCCCTGGATGGCCCTGGCGGCATTGAGGACACCCGACACATCCTGTTTGTGTGCCCCCTGTA